CTATTTATAGGAGGAGACTCCCGCCCAAAGTGTAGGTAAGGTCCGAGTGTGTGTGTGTGTAGGTCAAGGAGACCACACGGTATTTAGTCAGCGTTAGTTCACTTGGTCTACACTACAGTAGACCACAGTTGTGGCCTACCGTAACATGCCTCCTCCCAGGGAAGACGGCATCCCTGCCACTTCCGCAGTACGAGAAGTAAGGAGACCTCTTTGTCCCTATAAGAAACACCGAATCATATCAATTTTACAGAACCGCAACGAGGAAAAGAATTATTATGCCACGCCACGGGACGGTCAGGGGCCTTGTCGCGAATGCGAGGATTGCTCCCAGGAAGCATGGGCGTGTCGGCACTTGCGTGTAACTGTCGCCATGACCCCGCGTGCTCTAATTGTGATCGTGCGGGAACGCACGCTGCCGTCACGGCCACCTGGGGTAAAATGTTCTCAAGTCAGTCAACTTCTCAGATCGTCCTGCATCGTCGTGCTGGCAGCAAACTGGCGGGGCTGGAACCCTTAGTACTTCCCTATTTTAATGATTGTGTCTGATACCCTGTTATAACGACTATCCTATTCTATATAATTTGCTGATTGTGTCTGTTGGTGTGTCGGTGTGTATGTCGGTGTGTATGCTTGACAGGAAATTCATAACTCCTGTTCCTGTGGACCTAGAGAGTTTAAATTTGGAAGGAGTACGGGAAGCAGGATAGGAACACTTATGAACGTGGCAGCACAGGACTCCACCCACCGTGCGAGGCGTATAGAGATTTCAGGTCGCATATTCATAACTCCAGTTCCAGTGGACCCAAAGCATTGAAAACTGGTAGGAGTACAGGAAGCAGGATGGGAACACTTATAGCAGCTAGCAGGTTCAGAGTTCGCCTACAGGGGCAGGGTTTGCGCAGAGTAATGTTTAAGCAAAAGTTCTTAACTTCTATCTTCGTGTACCCAAAGAGTTCGAATTTTGTAGGACTTTAACAGGTGATGTAGGATATGACGGGATCGTAGGTACTCGGTGACAGTACCAACGATAGCTGATAAGAGAAGATAAGCGATCTATGAGAGGCCACCCACCGATCAAAACCCTAGCGCATTCAGTATTTACGATGCTGCTTTGACCGTTTAGTATGTTTCATTCGATAAGACGGGATGGTAAAGTAAGGTGACAAAAGTGAGTGGTAAGTGCAGTGATAGGGACCCATTACCGGTACTACGATAAGCAGATGAGGATTTCGCTCATTTGTTGCTATTAGATTACGACCGCTATCTATCTAGCAAGGTTTGCAACTTAATGAAAGATCCTCTTAGGTAGATATCATTTGTGACAAGACGTAACCGACCACCAATAATCTGGAGTTCTCAATAAATGATATCTAATAAATGATATGTAAAGAAAGAGGTCCATCCATTGATAATAACATCTGATAATGGTATTATCATTACTTGAAACATTTGTGAAGACCGCCCATGATTTTGGTTGCCTGACAGTTGAGTCTTTAATGGGTATTTACTTTTAGGAACGAGAGCAAAAGATCGAGAATACCAATTTGGACATAAGCACCGATCTACAGTGAATACCATTTGCAATGCCCTGTTAATCCTGTGTCAAGTTTCGTGAACAGGAGGGAAGAAATTCGAGGAGTAGTGCCCCAGGAATCCATTTCAAAAGTAGATGATGGGATCATTCGCATTGAAGTAATTGTGGGTTGGTGGTGTTGGTTGGTGGGCGCAGAATTCTAATAGGGCATTCCGACTTTCACACAAGAAGGAAGAAAGTCCGTACGGTCCGACTGGTCTTGTATACTACACTGTTCTGAGGCGGAGCTGGTCGAGCGGTGGGTCGATGGAAGCGACCCGACATGAGTAGTTAATTTCATTACTGAACGTTCTGAGTGCTAGTACATAATGCGAGGGTGGAAGAGTAAAATAGTATAAGTAAAGTGATTAGTCCATTTGGTGTTATTTAATGTAAAGGGAACCACCTGGACTATTTGTTCTTTATCTAATTGACCCGAGTTCCATCGATCCGCAACATGGTGCATCGGCGATGGCGAAACAGACCTGTTCGATCATCAATAAATGATCGGTAAAAATATGATTCTCGAATCGGAACATCGGAGACTATGGGGACAAACCATATAGCAAATTTATAAGAGATGTAACGCAATATCAAGGGATCGGGTGCACTGGGACCGTGGCAGAACGGCTGGCTAGGGGTGGCAACTAACCGACAGACGGATGAGGACCAAGGCGCAATAATACAGAAGACGTGGACAGATGGGAGAGTGGGACCAAGGAGCTCACATGGAGAGTGGAGGCGAACGAAGAGCCTCCAGCCGGCGCTGCCAGGGAGCCGGCGGTACTGTACCGGGATGACTGATTTGTAGCGGCAGCCCAAAAACTTGTTAGTCCCAAGCAATTGGGCGCACTGATGGAGAAGCTTCTCAAATCCCCTCTACTATGTGGGTTGGCCACCCAATTAGGTAGCTGAGGTATGGTGTAAACGGATGGGTCTACCACTTAGTGGACTTCACCTCTCTCTAGTCCAGCACACACTGCATGTTCCAGCAATACATCTAAAAATATGAATTGTCGCCGCTGAAAGTAGAACTAACCCCTTCCGCAGGCTGTCGCTTATTCGGTAGTAGATGTTTTGTCTCAGTTCATCTTTCATTTTCTCGTTTTTTTCGTTTTCGCGGCTTCTCGTGTATTAATCGCCTTACAATAATCTTGCTTTCAATCTGCTAACACTACTGCTCATTTATATGGAAAAAAACTTGCATCGAGTCGCCCGTCTAAGACCAGTGTAATACAAGATCGAACCAGTTATTTCAGATAACTACCTCAACTTTGGGAGTGTTGGTGTGTGACGTGCCACGCGAACTACTGCAATTTCAGCTACCGGCTATATCAGAGGTCAGAAGGCTGTCAATTCCCTAGCGGGAAACTTGACGGAACTCGAAGAAACAACGCTTGAGATCACCGAAAAGGAACGAAAAACTGGCGAATTTGGTGATAGCGAGAATGTAACGTATCATGACAAGAAACTACCGCAAAAATAATACATATGACACACTGGACGAGCGAATTGAAAGAAACTTGGAAGCAAAGCGTGGATTACTTTGATAAGATATGAAAATAAGACGGCCGCTACCAGCCGATCCAAGACTTTACAGATCATTGGGAGACAATTGGAGCAGAAAACACTATGGCCATTGCCCAGATCCTCGCCCAAGTTTTCGAGTACTTGAGAAGGAAGCTGGAAAAAAATACAAGGGAAAAAAGTCAGAAGAAGACGAAAGGACTGTTGACTACGCAGATAGAAGTACAGTTTCCAAAGTTGGAATTACCGGGCTTTGAAGGCGATATATTGAAATTCCCAGAATTCAGGGAACTATACAAGTTGGCATTACACAATAATGCAGCGATTGCACCCACGGCAGAATTTGCATACTTAAAAATACCTGAAAAGCAAAACAAAAGGTACGCCCCACGACATCATTGCCTCCATTAGAAAGCCAACAAAAAACTATCCCAAGGCTATCAATCTTTTGCTTAGTACGGACCAGATGTTTTGCGAAACAGGCGTGTAGAACAATTGGAGGAAATACCCCCAGCTGGAAAGCCCGTCACAGAACAATGTGTTACATTGTGCAGTGTTAAAGCAATATGGAGTCAGCTAGCCACTTTTAAAGTACAACCTGGCTGCACGATGACTATGAAGACCAACAGATCCAAGTTCCCGAGATAGACAAGGGAAGAGGTAGGACAGAAACGGTCAAGGGGTGACGACTGGACGACGGAGAATCTGATCGAGGCATCGACCAATTGGAAATCGTCAAAGATACCGACCCAACTCCTACCCTAAAGGCGAGATCGTACACCACAAACAATTCACAAAGTTTACGAAACCTGAATAAGGTTGCAAGAAGGACACGAAAGGGAAGCAGTGTCAGCATGAACAACGAAGCATCACCGACAGGTAGAGCTCGAAGTAGGGTGAGATCGAGTCGTCGAAGCGAAATGCAGTTTCTGTTCCCAGATGGGTCACAGTACTGCAGAGTGCGACGAAGTAACATCCCCTTACGAAACAAGAGCAATTATAGTACAACAACGGCTATGCTGGCAGTGTCTCAAAAAGGGACTCAAAAGTAAATACTGCAGTGCCCCTAAGCATAGCAAGTGCTATCGGAACCACCACAGGTCTCTATGCCTCCAAAGGAGCTCTTCCCGTAGTCCAGCGAGAGCTGACAGTCGCAAGACAAGATACTATACCAAAGATAGTTCAAGGGATAGTTTTCCTTCAGAGACTAGTATACGTAGTTACACAAGGTCAGGGACTCAGTCCTCAATTCCACCATCAAGAGAAAGTTCACCTACGAGGAAACCAAGGTAACAGCGCAGAGGAACACCTCAACCAAGAGTCGATTTCGAGGATTCGCTAAGGACGAATATCTATACCAGCCTGTCTCTCTCTTCAGAATCTGATCCTTACAAGGCAGAGGAAACGAAGCGTGAAGAGATAGCTCCTCTGACGAGTCAGATGGGTCAGAGATAGAAACCTTCCGAATCAATGCATTGTGTGATAAACAAGTGTTCACTAGCACAGTAAGAAAAAGACATAGTTCAAAAGATAAGGGAAGGACAGGTGCTCGATCCATCTCGTCTTATGGTAGTGCAAGCACTAACAATCAATAGAGACAAAATCCGAACACCTTCTCACAGTACTACTGGATAGTGGTTCTCAACACAGCCATATCAGGAAGGATACTGCGAAAAGCTTAGAATTAAAATTATGGAATCCAAAAATATCACTACACAAGCATTTGGAGGGCATCAGCACACGAAGAAACCCTATCGTACTAAGGTTATACTCCTAAACAAGTCCTACGGTGCACCGACTAAACTCTGTCTGTGGAGACGCAAAACTATTATTATACTACAGTAGAGATGTCAACCAACGAAAGTAACAGTTCGACGGATGTCATAAAAAACCAAAGACAATGGGAATGGAAGTTGACGTTCTAACTGGGATGAACTACTATTGGGATGTAGTGGATTTCAGTTCGAGCCGTCAACTTCCCTCTGAACTCGCTGAGTCTAGGACGAAACTCGGTTCAGTTTTTTCGGGTTACCTCTATTCATCAACACAAAGTACTGCAGAGACCACTTCAGTGGAAGGACATCGCGAACCAGTAACTGAAACCGATCGCATAATACAACACCTACCAGGTTTAGAGTCTCTCGAGACGAAAGATGAAGCAGATGAAACCAATGCCAGTTTAATACAACACTACTATAACACAGTACAAACGAAAGATGGCCTCATATAAGTTCAATTTCCGTGGAAGACAAATCATCCTCTCCTTGCTGATAACAAAGCTCTAGCAATACGGAGGCTAGAAAATCAATACAAAAAGCTCCGCCGTAATAAAAAAGTATGGGAGGAGTACTGCAAGGCCTTCGATCAGCAACATAAGTCGGGGATAATAGAAGAAGTCAGCGAGTCGTCAGCCCATGGAAAATAGGTGCTTTACATTCCACATCAAGCGGTATCCAAAGAAAACAGTGCTGCCCAAAATTACGCATCGTATTTGATGCGTCGAGCCACATGAGAGATGTATCCAATCTGAACGAGTGTGTGCACCAAGGACGAACTCTATTGACACATTCTATGGCACGCTATCACGAGCACGGCTAACACCGATAGTTATAATGGCGGATGTGGAAAGAGCATCTCATAAAATTAGATTCGAAGAAGACAAGAGAGACGCCACGCGCTCCTTAGGGTTGGAAGATACTACAAAATATCCATCGAGAAACATCATACGTATCCTCCAACTCACACGTATTCAATTTGGTGCGAACGCATCTCCATTTTTATTAAGCATGTCCATAAGTATACACTGCAGAGAGAAGGTAGAAACCGGCTCTAGGAAGAGATTACCGCAAACACCTTCCTTGTCAATGTTTTGATAGGTGCCCAAACGGTCGACGAAGGTCTTCGAAAGAATGTATTCTCGAAGATAGGCATGAACCTTCGCGAATTCATGTCAAATGACGAACACGTGTTAGAGTCTACTCCATTGAAGGACAGAATGGAGCCGACGTCTGATGCAGTAAAACTGTTGGGATTGAGATGGAATACGCACGAGGACACATTAGGCGTGCCCATCAAGTCAATCACAAAAAAGGTTACCACAAAACGTAGTGCACTGAGGGCATTCGCATCAACCTTTGACCCATTAGGTCTTCTTATTCCATTATTCATCAAAGCCAAAATATTCATACAAAACATATGGATCAAGAAGTGTTTATGGGATGACCCGTTCGACGAAGCTAAACGTAAACATGGCGACGGAATCCTTCAGCTGCAAGGTCGGGTAATACAGAGTCTCCAAGCAATTCAGTAATGTAGTTCAATGGCAGTATTGAATATAGATATAGGATCGATACTCGAGTAAGCCACAATAATGGACCGATCAACACCAAGTTTATCAAGTACTCGCTTCTGAAGGGACAAGCAGCAATACGATGCAACGACAGTATCGAACAAAACTAAAAATCCGTCCTTCATATTCCCATTTGGTGCGCGATCGGTGGATCACATTCCAATCAATTCCATGTAGATCTTGACGATGTTGTCACCACACAGTGCGAAGACGGAATCTATCGCGGGGATCTACAAATGATAAATGCAGTGCTCGAGGACTCTGCGAAGACCCCGATCCTACTTTTGCCAAAACAGCTTACGAAGCTGATCGTCGCGGACTTCCATCAAAGGTTGTTCCACGCCGGCACTTCACACCTGGTATCTCAGCCTAGAAACTACTATCTCATTCCAGAAATCGCACTGTAGCTAATTCGATAGTACAGCAGTGCACAATTCGCCGACGACAACAAGGAAGGCCATTCTCATGCCCCAGACTACCGGATCTACCAAGCCAGAGAGAGGTCCGAAGTAGACATTTTCAAAACACGGGTCCTGATTACTTCGGTCCTATCACAGTTCGTCAACAAGTAGGGGCGGACAAAAAAGTCTGGGTGTGCCTCTTCACCTCGAGGGCAACTCGAGCGTTGCACTTGAAATCGTGGCAGATAACTCGGCACCAAAATTCCTCCTCGCGTTCAGAAGGTTTTTGGCACGCAGAGCAGCCCCTACCTTGGTTTTGAGCGGCAACGCACCAACCTTCAAGCTAGGATGGGAAATCTTGGTAAACGAGCTACTCGCTCTAAGGGAACATCCCGCGGTCCAGCAGGTCACTGCATCCCAGAACCTCGACTGTTCACCACACCTCTTCCGCCCTGGAAAGATGGTTTTTATGAAAGGTTAGTGGGGTCAGTGAAGCTGGATTTGAAGAAGACCATTCACAGACAAACGTTAGACTTATGGGCGTTACAGACAGTTATTTCAGAAATAGAATCTACTCTAAACACTACGACCAACAGACCTTATTAACCCATATTTCACTCCCATTAGTACAAGGACATTTAATACAAGCGGTCGGCTGAGCAATTCCCATTTTTGTGAGATCAATGTCTCGTGTTACTACTACAAGACACATTATACAGATTTTGGGACACTGGCAGAAATGATACCTTCAAGCCCTTGCTGAGCGTAATTATAAAAGAATTACTCCGAGACAAGGTGCAAAAAGTTGTCCAAAAACTGGCGACGTAGTACTCATGAAACAAGAAAATACTCAAAGATCACATTGGCCTCTTGGCCTCATAGTACGAATTAATGAATCAGCTGATGGAGTGATCAGATCCGTAAAAGTTAAAACAGGAAATAACACAACATCGGATCGATCAATAAATCAGTTGATCCCACTGGAAGTATGGGCTCCACAGAAAGAAGATGGGACAAATACCGAAAAGAAAGAGCAACCGACACGCATACAACCAGACAGAAGAGTGAAAAGTAAGAAAAGGTAGATCTCATATTGTTATTCTAATGCATATCCATATCACTAACACACTATCAATATCACTAAAATTTTCTGATAGCCTAACTTGATACTTCGCTCTCATTAATCCAACGCATAATTCACAATAACACACTAAAACAATGATTCATCCAAGAGAACACTAGATGACTAAAGGGCGTGAGTCCTTTCAAGTCCAAGGGGTCCTGGGACGACTACCAGATGCGCGCCAAGAGCAAGGCTGCATATCAACGAATCCCATTTTCGTTAACGAACGACGTTGGTGTTGCCGCTTACACTTCATGATTGCCCTCGATTCGACTTGTATTATCACCTCGCAATTTTCTCGTTACACATTGATCGTATATTTGTTTCTTATCAATATCATCGTACTAACACTTAGTACATCTGAGTAGCCGCATATGCTTAATTTACGTAGTCGACAAGGCAGCGCGCTTCAGAAATGAGAAAATCTTACTTCCTCTACTAATTCATTTTTAAGCCATAACCCTTTTTAAACCTAGCGTGTTGACTCACAGTTACTTCTATTTTACCGTCAATTGCGATTTTTCACCTACTCCGCGAACTCACCGTTCGAGATTTTAGAAGAGGAGGCTTCTTGTCCGTTTGAACGAGAAATATCGACGGCTTAATGTTTTACTTTTACTTAGCGTCCTTTTCCGTGTGCTCCCCTCGGGCCCTCCTTCCGTGCCAAACGATACCCTTGATGACCTTTCCGTTGCACTAGAACGCTTACTCTGCGCCCTTTCTGTAACCGGTGAGCCACACTCGAACCTTGCTCTTGATCTCAATCGATAGTCGATTGCTCCAGTAGTGAAAGCCTTTCCACTCTTTTCGGATTGCCTCACCAATCCTTAAACCAGAGTAGCCTCGTTACCTGCTACCCTGATCCCACACTTCCTGCGTGCGCTGTTTGCCTGACACTGTCTAGTCGATACTCTCGAACAGTTCGGCCCTATGTACCGAAATGGTCCGTTCGAACGAGAAATATCGACGGCTTAAAACAGTGTTAGCACCACGCACACACTTCGCGAACCAAAAATTTATTCGCACAAATAACAAAACAATTACGCAACCGAAAAAACCAAATCGCGAAACGGAAGTAACGAAAACAAATAAAAATAAAAACACAGTCCAGCAAAAAGGGGGGAAGGAGAGGAATCCGGGCGGGGACGTTCGATATCGCTATGGCCGTCGCGTCCTTGAATACATTCTAATTCCCGCCTAGACCACCCCGGCGTTTCGTAGGTCGCTGCACTGATCTTTCGGCCCACACTTATCTCTTATTTTTTAATAATAAATAAACTAGAACTTGGCTTTTAGAGTCATCCGCGCTATCACCTCCGCTCATCGGCAAATAAAACAATAACGACGCCAACGTCTTCTACTTCGTTCTTTGGTGGGTTTGGGCCAAGGGGGTTCCATGCAGCTGCCGTGCGCTAGGTCTCCAGACGGGGTCTGNAAAAGGGGGGGGGGAAGAAGAGGAATCCGGGCAGAGACGTTCGATATCGCTATGGCCGTCGTCGTCCTCAAATACATTCTAATTCCCGCCTAGATCACCCCGGCGTTTCGTAGGTCTTTCGATCTTTCGGCCCACACTCATCTCTTATTTTTTAATAATAAGTAAACTAGAACATGGCTTTTAGAGTCATCCGCGCTATCACCTCCGCTCATCGGCAAATAAAACAATAACGACGCCAACGTCTTCTACTTCGTCCTTTGGTGGGTTTGGGCCAAGGGGGTTCCATGCAGCTGCCGTGCGCTAGGTCTCCAGACGGGGTCTGAGACCAAGGCCCATGAGTGGTTCTCTGGTAGCGCGAGTGTCGCGAATGCGAGGATCGCTCCCAGGAATCATGGGCGCGGGTGACTGTCGCCATGACCCCGCTGCTCTACCCGTGATCGTGCGGGAACGCACGCTGCAGTCACGTCACCCGGGGCACAAAGTTCACATGTCAGTCGCCTTCTTCGATCGTCGTGCAGGCAGCAGACCCGCGGGACTGGAGCCTTTAGGATTCCCTATTCCTATGATTGTGTCGGATACCCTGTTGTAACGACTATTTCGTATACTACACTATTCTGAGACGGAGCTGGTCGTGCGGTGGGTCGGTGGAAGCGACCCGACGTGAGAAGTTAACTTCATTACTAACCCTTTTGAGCGTTAGTACATAATTTGAGCGTAGAAGAGTAAAATAATGATTAGTAAGGTGATTAGTCCATTTGATGTTATTCATTGTGAAGGTAACCACCTAGACTATTTGTTCTTTATCTATTTGATTCAAGTTCCATGATCCGCAACAGGCCTAATGGAGTCCAGAATAATCTCGGCGCGCTCCCCGTCCTCTGCCAGCTTGGCAGCTGCTTCTGAGCGGTGGAACTGGAACGTCCATTGCGGGTAGTGCAGAAGTGGAAGTTGAAGCGCATACGCCTGTCGTGCTACCACCATCGGATTCGGCTGCATCGTGCGCTGAACATTCCTAAATGAACCCATGTCAGGTCGGGACAGAAAGAACTACATCGGTGGGGTTCCGCCCGAGAAGGAATGCCCTTAAAGTTCAAGACGCCGATAGGTCGAGGATGATCAGAGTTTTGCGCCTCATTTTTTGTGTTACTTTTCTTCGTGATTTTGTTATTACGTTTCGTTAATAAATTATCCACTTGTCGTGTGTCGTCTCACACTCGAAGCAGATAGCTCCTTTCACTGTAGTCCCTATGAGGGATCCCTACACCCAAGGTACGTTGCACAATTCCTTTTGGAATTCCCACAATGATATGCTTCTTCTGCTTGAAGTAGAGACGAGTACGAGACCAACAACTTCTCGAAACAGCTTGCAATGGAGGTAACTCCACTTTTGCTTTAACTTAAAATCTCAGCGCGTCGTAGTACTCTTGTACAACTTCTTGAGAATGAGCCTCTGCGCTGGACCTTCTTGGATGAGTTCGGGTCCGTGTGAGGGCTCCTGTGGCGATTCAATACTTGAAATGAGACATCTCAAACCCTGCTTCACAATACCTGCCGCTATATATTACGTCAAGGTAACTGAAAAAAAAATACAGTGCAACGGCATCTTCAAGAGCTGACTGAAGTAAAGGGTTGAGGGGAGTCCCTTAAGCGCAACCCCTCTTCGTGATTTAGTCTAACCAGTGAACTAATTATGTCAAAAGAAAATGAGAGCAGAACAGTAAGAAAAAAATTGAGGCTTTTTTCCGAGTGGAAATCTGCAGTAATGGCAGGATCTTTTGATCAATACAGCGGCGCACCGTGACCTTTCCCCCCACCCTCAGTGTGGGGAGTCCGATGAGTACCGCTTATTCTAAGTTTTTCAGGAACAAACTTTCCGAAAAACAAGTTAATGAGATAGATCACAAATATGGTCTAGGTATTGAAACTTATTTGCGCTCTTTTTCGTTCGTTTCCTATGAATCGAATGCAAAGATCACACGCTTTTGATCTCCTTGCATCAAAT